GGAATTCGAGTTAGTACTAGGCCGTTATTTTCCCAGATTTGCAGATATGTCCCTCACGAATTTCCTTACAGGTAGGTCCCTCGGTTAGCCCTCAGCCAAACAAAATTACGAATCTACCCCAACCGGTTAGTGTACAGCCTTGCAGTCAATCTCGACAGTCAGAATCAGCAAGTCATTGCAGGCTTACCCTCCCCGGGAGCGAGGACCTCCGAGCTAGGGATGCAGGCGAGGTGAACGGCGAGGAAGGTTACCCTTCTGAGCCGCTTCATATCGCAACGTAATAGACTTTGCTGTCTTGAGAAGTTTCCTTCTGTAAAACCATCTGTTCTCAGAAGGAGGCTGAAATGCGAACCTCACAAGATACTGTCGATCGGGGCCGGTGCCCCACTCATCCTCAATCCTGTCCACATCATATCCCTTGTCAGGGATTGGTGGTCCAAACTGAGGGGGTCGGTTTGGGAATGCATCAGCTGGGGTAAAAGGCAGCAGCTTGGATGCATGAAAGACCGGGTAGGTGCGTAGATTCAGCGGGACGTCGATAACATACGACGGACCGAAGGGATCAGCGCCCACTGTATCTAGGACCTCCCATGGACCCAAGTAACGTGGCAACAGCTTGGGGGAGATATCCTCCTCCCTCGTCAACTCTGAACTGGCCACCCAAACATGATCACCAGTGCGAATGGGGGAAGGCGGCCTGTGGCGATTAGCTTGTTCGATCATAGCCTTTTGGGCTTTGAACAAGTTCGCGCGGGCTGTTTCCACATCCAAACGATAACGTCTGGTGAACTATGCGGTGCCTGGTGTCAGATCAGGCTTAGCCTTATCGATGATGTCATCGAGAGGCTGTCGTGGCTCACGTCCCCAGTGTAACCAGTAGGGACTGAACCTTGTCGAGGAGTGGACAGACATGTTGTACATGAGTTGTGCCCTAGCCAAGTGAAGATCCCAGTCCTACTGATCTGGAGAGATGACAGGACGCAGCAATTGGAATAAGACTTGGTTCATCACCTCAGCCTGACCATTGGCTTCAGGGTGATGACCAAAAGTCATGTCCAACGTGAGTGCAGGTAATCCTTACAATAGGACTGCCACTCATCGCTGCAAAATCTGGGGTCTCTGTCACTGACTATAGAAGTGGGCGGTCCATGGTGAGTGACTCACCTCTTAGAAAAGGCTGCTCTCACAGCCGGGACCCTAGCTACCTCTGGCAAGGGGATGAACTCTGCGTATTTGGAGAACCTGTCCACGCAGACCATAACCTGACGCATGCCACGAGGGGTGGTCTTGCCTAGATCTGTGAAGTCAATCGCCACAGATTGGGCAGGGCCATCAGGTATGGGTAAGGGTTTGAGCAGTCCCAAAGGAGGTCTACGCTGAACCTTATTCCTTTGGCAGAGCTCACAGGTGTCCACATAGCGCAGCATATCACTCCGCATCTCCTTCCAGAAGAAGCGCTGCGACAGGGCTGCATATGACTTTAGGAACCCAAAATGTCCACGGGCATCATGACACTCTGACATCAGTAGTGTCCTGAGCCGCTGGTCCTGGGGAATGCACAAGCGTTCCTCCCCTCTGCTGTAGGTGTACAACAGATCTGAACTCAGAGCATAGACTGGTTCAGAGTTAGGATCTGCTTGCAAATTCCTGACTATGGGTCCGAAAGTCTCATCCTGAGGCAGTAGACGAGCAATGGTCTGACGGGTCTCCTCTCCAAAAGAGTGAGTAGAGGAGATCAACGCAAAAGAGTCAGGCCTACGAGAGAGGGCATCTGCTACCTTATTGTAGCAGCCCTTCTTGTGCTTCAGTTCAAAGTCAAACATGTCTATGAACTGAATGTACCGTGCCAATTTGTCATTCAACTCTCCCTGGGACTTCATCCACTGCAGGGTGGAGTGATCTGAGAAGATCTTGAAGTGCCTTCCCAAGAGAAAGTGCTTTCAATGTTTCAGGGCACAGACAAGAGCATATAGCTCTTTCTTGTAGGTAGAGTCATGGAGCTTTTGAGTCTTGATCTTCTTACTCATAAATTCTACAGGTCGTAGACCATTCCCATCATCCTGGTGAAGAACTGCCCCAATGCCATACTGACTGGCGTCAGTGGTCAGGATGAATGGCAAAGTGGGTTCAGGTAACTTCAGCACAGGCGCACGAGTCAAGGCCTTCTTGAGTCGTGTGAAGGCCAACTGACAGGGAAGGGACCAAAGAAAGGGAGTATCTTTCTTTGTTAGGTTGGTCAGGGGTGCAGCCACTGCAGAAAAGTTCCTGACAAACTTTTTGTAGTATGAGGCTAGACCCATGAAGGACCTGACATCCCTCACTGTCTGTGGTTGAGGCCACTCCTGAATAGCAACAATCTTGGCTGCTTCAGGAGCCAGACCATCTCCAGAGATTACATGACCAAGGTACATAACAGAGGGGACTCCAAAGGATGACTTCTCTCTGTTGATCTTGTACTGGCTGTCACGTAACGACTGAAGGACAAGAGCCAAGTGCTCCGCATGTTCCCTGGCAGTTTTGCTGAATACCAGGATATCATCCATGTAGACAACCATAAACTTGTCTAGGTAAGGCCTGAAGATGCGGTGCATCTCTGTCTGGAAGGTGCCTGGGGCGTTGCAAAGTCCAAATGGCATGACCAGGAACTCATAAGTTCCATATCTGGTCTTGAAGGCTGTCTTGTAGACATCCTCCTCAACCATCTCAATCTGGTGGTAGCCAGATTTGAGGTCGACTTTGCTGAACATTGTGCAGCCCTGCACCATGTCTAGGAGGTCATCGATCCTAGGAAGTGGCTCAGTACTCTTCCTAGTGATCTTATTAAGACCCCTGTAGTCAATGCACATTCTGAACTCGCTGTTCCCTTTGGGTACAAAGAGAACAGGTGCACCAAATTCAGAAGTGTTGGGTCTAACCCAGCCCTTGCTGGTCAGGGTCTCAAGCTGCTTTCTGAGCTCCTCAAGCTCAGCAGGGGACATCCTGTAGATGCGGCCCTTGGGAGGGACCGCTCCAGGCAGCAGCTCGATGTGATGCTTGGTTGGCCGGTTGGGTAACCCAAAGGGCTCCTGCATCAGATCAGCATACTGGTCTACCACCTGCTGTATCTCAGGAGGACAGGAAACAGGGGGAGCATCTGTTTGCTTGACCAAAGCAATAAACAGACGCTCATGGTGGTACTGGCGTGAGAGAGCATGAAACTCCCTCGCTCTCAAGCAGTAGCAAGATGTCTTAGGGTGGTGATCAGCAGCAATCATGCATGGCTGATACACACCCTGGCTATTAGGTAGCTCGACCTTTGGGATCTGCTAGTCGATCCTTGGGTTGACTGCCTTCAGCCACTGCATGGAGAACACCAAGTCAAAGGGCAGCTCAAGGAAAATGTAGAAGTTCAGACTGTGTCTGACTTCTCCAACACTATCGAAGGTCACAGGGATACCCTTGACCTTCTCCCTGATGCTGAGCACTGTAGAGTCACCAATCCTCACCAGCAGCGGTTGCTGCAACTGCTGAACTTTCATGCCCAGATGCAGCTTTTTAACTGCACTGGGAGACATGAAGTTCCTGGTGGCCCCACAGTCCAACAGCCCAGTGATCCTGGTGCGGTTGATCAGGGGCCGAAGCATGATGAGATCAGACTTGTTTTTCTTCTGTTCCTTCAGATGAAGGAAGAAGGCAGCAAGGGCCTGAAGCTCATCCTGCTCCGGGTCCTGATCCGGATCAGGATCCTCATAACAGAAGGATGCTGCCCGCGCAGTCCCCAAACAAACATCATCACATACAGTCTTAACTGAAACAGTTGCAGATTCACCTACCTGAGTAGATGAAGGTGCAACATTGGGGGGAACTGCAGTCCCCAGGGTCTGTTTCAGTTTTTTGACTGACCTGGGCCTGGCATGTAAGGCAGTCCTTCAGGAAGTGCTGTCCCTCACACCTCAGGCAGACCCCTCTCTCCTTTCTTCTTCTCCAGACTCCCTCCTGGATTTTGAGGTCATGCCAGGGGAGTGTGGAGGGATTGAGAGGGTGAGTTGGCATTCGAACATCTTTGGGCAGGTTAGGGCGATGGGAAGAGGAAGGCCGACGTCCCTTTTCCTTCCCCTTGGCACTGACTGAGGTTGTGGTGGGGGAAAACTTCTTTTGCTGCTGCAGAACTCCCAAAACAGCCTGAGTCAGGGCTGCTGCAACATCTGTATCAGCAGCAGATCCAGTCCCAGTTGAAGGTGCATCAGCCTGGGAATCTGAGTCTGGACCTGATGCAGATCCCGCGTGAGTAAAGGCTGCCTTTCCCTTTCTGCCACCTCTAGGGAAAACACCTTTCCTCCTGTCAGAGGATGGGGCCTGAACATGAAGCTTTGCCTCCATGTCCAGGGTTGCACGGCCAAAGGACCTCCAGTCCTTGTGCCCAGCGCTTTACAGCACAACAACAAACTTCTCAGGCGCGGCCCTGCAGAAGTTGGTCAGCAAATCATCGGTTGACATGACCAACCCAGGGGTGGAGGTAAGCTGCTCAAATTCTGCAAACAAGGCCTGCAGGGTGCCGCTGTACCACTGCTGCCCCAGGAGAGCAATCCTGTCAACAGCCTTGCGGGCCCGCTCCTTGTCTGCAAAACGGTCCTCCAGGGCCTGCAGAAGTTTGTCCACCCCAAGCCCAAAAGCCAGTCCTCCATGGACTGCTCCAGACTGCTGGAGGTGGAAGTGGCCCACTTCAATGCAGGTCCCTCCAGTAGTCCCAGAACAGTCGCCACCTTGGTCTGTTCTGCACAGACAAAGCCCCTAAAGTAGGCTTTGGTCCCAGCAGCGTAGCCCCCAACATCGGTCTTGGGGTCATTGCCCCTAAACTTGTTGGGAGCAGGGATCTTGGGACCTCTGTGATCTCCTGCAGTAACGACAGCATAGGTGGCTTTGCCTGAGGCTTTTTGGGAATGGGATGGTATCCGGGAAGAATGCGCAGATCCAGGGGGAGATGAAGGAGGGGTAGAAGGAGGAGAAGGTTTGGGTTTAATCAGAGGGAGCTGAGGGGCAATCAGCTTGGCGGCTGACAACTGAGCAGTCAAGCTCTGGATCGCATCCAAAATCTTGGACTACTGAGCTGCCAGGTCGTCAACCCGACGCTCCAAACGCTCAAAACGATCATCCCAGTTCGTGAAGTGAGAACTGGTGATCTTGTGCTCCAGGATGATCATCTCTGCCAGGTGTTTGGTCACCTGTGCACAACGGTCATCTGAGAGCACCTTGTCCAGCTGCTGCAACAGAAATTCCCTTCTGGAATAATCTGTTGCAGCCTCTAGCTCAGCTGCCTCCTGACGTTCCAACTGTGCCAGGCGTTCCTGTTGCCGCCGCAGCTGCTCTTGCAGCTCCTTCTTTTCCTGCTGAGTAGCAGTCAGAGGTGGAGGTGGAGGAGTGGAGGTTGAAGGTTGTTGACCTTCCACCTTCATCACCACTTCCACCTGTGGCTGCTGCTGAGCCCCCTGATCAGACATTTTTCCTTTCAAAAATACAAAAATAATACAGCAACCTGAGTATGCAGCGATAATCAGATTCCTTTAGACACCCTGGAATCGCTGCAAAACTCAGACACTGGAATAGGTGGGTGTATAGGCAATCAGCGGTTTGGGTTGGAAGGGTGTCTCAGGGGTCAGGTGTTAGATAGACTACAAGTCCAGCAAAATCATACACACGATTTCCTTTTACTGACCCTACACCACACTGGAGTTAGTAGAGTCACTCCACTACTCTTCCAAAGACCCACTAGATTTCCATAGCCCACTAGAAAACAAGGGTAGTCAGTGGGAATGATAGAACATGGTTAGTACAGACAAGAGAGGTCAACCAAATCAAGCGATTCAGACAGACACCCTGTATCCTGACTCAAACTCCAATTTAGACCCTGATGACTCTSRCGGCCATACCCTAGGGTATGGCGAAGTACAGTATTCACTGTATCCAGTGAAATACTGTAAATCCAACTCTGCGATTCTGCAGTATTATCTATTTTTGGATTGCGATTCACTGGGGACTGACAGAAGGGGATTCTGATGGACAAAATTAAAGTTATGACTGACCCTAGTTAGCACATGCTATAAATAGACTCAGCGCAAAACTGTAATTCACAGTATCACTACTTTTCCAATGCAGAATTCACAATTTGAGTATCCCAGATCAGTCGCAATGCAGTACAGCTGTCACATAACACTTTTGGATTGAAAAGAGTCAACAGAGGGTGAGAAATGAGCAGAGAGAGGTAGGGGAGAGATGGCTATGGCTGTCATGCAGTCTGCGATTTTCACATCCAGTCACTGACAGGCAGATAGACCATTATAATCAACTAATCTAATCCTATCTGGATCGCTATGCAGGTAGGTGCATGGAATGGACTCACTTTCAGAGAATCTTGCAGGTGTTGATGAAGATCTGGCTATGCCAGATGGTAACCCTTATCTCGCCAATTTCTTCCAGATATTCCTCCTGATAATCCCATGCACAGAACTGCCTCAAACTTGTTGATCCTCCTCAGGATCTTGTAGCGCTGCACTCCCTCAACCCAGATGCACTGTATCTGGTCCTGTGGCGCCCAGATAGCCAACAACAAAATATCTCGCCACAATGCCTGGTAGCCGCTGATGTTAAAAATAGCCCCAGATGGGGTTATTCCTCCTAGAGATTGATATACTGTGTCAATCTCTGCCAGCGCTACCCATGGATGATGCCGCTCAAGGTTCCCTGATGTCCTCAGGGGTAATTCGCCACTCTGGGGTACTTCGCAATACTACCCTCAGGGTTGGCTATGGCGAATTAGCCCTGTACTTGCCACTTCCTGACAAGCGCCCTGACAAGCTCAGTGCGCTTGCTCAGTGCCACCACTGAACACTTGAATCCACCCCTGAAAGTCTTCTTCCCTGCTGACTCAGTACTGGGGAAGATGAGTCGCCATGAAACTCTCGCAGTAGATCGCCAGATGAAGAAGATGCCTCAGTGCGCTCAACCCTCAGTGTTCCAATTCCAATCCCAGCTCCGATACCAACTGTTATGAACTTGGTTGTCTGACGATTTTTACCGCCACTCACACACAGACAGTCCCATACACGCCCATACATGCATAAGAGAAGGGGGAGAGGAGAC